GAGTTTTTAAAATTAGATCAAATTTTCGGGGGTCAATTTTCCTTTTTCTGTGTAACAAATTTTGATTTTGTATTTACACAAAATGAGTTATTTACCTCGGAGGTGGTTTTTGCTGTAGACAGTCCCATATAAGGTTATAATGTATTAATACTGAAAAGGTGCATTTTTGATTCTGTGTATAAAGCACGGAATTTGTAATATACCGAAAAGATACTAATACTAGTATGTTTTGATTCCGCATATAAGATGTATATTTAATATGCAGTGTAGTTTGAGAACTTTCTAGGAATCAGCAAAAGCGGATAATATACAAAGAAATATAAGGTAGTGGTATAATAGCACGACATAATGTTATTTAATGTGCTTTCTTCTTACTTATTATTCTAATGTTTCTAATAGAAGGATTCGTCTTCGATTGAAAAGATCTACTTGTCATTCAATGGTTTATTACATTACGCACTATATTAAGATTATATTAAGTCATTATTAGTTGCATACCGATCTTGTTGTTATTATATTGTTAGATGATTTAATTTGAACAAAAATCAAACAAAAAAAATATTAGAGTTGGTGAATAAATATTCTTTATATTTAATTGTTTATTAAATTATTTTCTCATGCGATATACAGTACCTTCTAAATTTAGTATAAGATTTTCGATGCGACTAATCATGAAATCACATCAGAAAAAATTTTTTTTTATTAAATTATTAGTATGGTATGTATTAAGATATAAAACAAAGGCAAATCTAACAAAAAAAAACAATTTAAAATTTTAACATCATTAATAATAACTAATTAATAACAAATCACAACCATAACAATTTAATTCTGATATTAAAGGTGCTGAAGCAATTTGTGGTGTTGGGTTACAAAGAAGTTGTGTGAAAAGTCGACGAGTTGCATTTGTGGTAGATGTAGATGATGATAACCTTCTTGCAGGAGATTGTGTATTGGAAGAAGGTAAAATCTAAATACAGAAGGGTACTTTTTTTGCAATATACAGTACCTTCTAAATTTAGTATAAGATTTTCGATGCGACTAATCATGAAATCACATCAGAAAAAATTTTTTTTTATTAAATTATTAGTATGGTATGTATTAAGATATAAAACAAAGGCAAATCTAACAAAAAAAAACAATTTAAAATTTTAACATCATTAATAATAACTAATTAATAACAAATCACAACCATGGTTAAGTTAACATGATCTGATGATTTTAATAAATACATTGATGACTTATTTTTACCTGACTCAAGAATTGAAGAGGTGGTAATGGTCACATATGAAGAAACTGATAATTTGGCTACTATGTGTGAAAAATTATTAAATAAAATAACTACATTGGGAAGAAAGCAAGGAAGAATTGAAAAATTAATATATTATTATTATATTGGAGAGGAGTTACTAAAATATAATAACTATAGAGAGAAATGGAGGGTTGTTGTAAAAGAAAAAATGTTTATGAGTGAAAAAAGGCATTTTACAAATGCTATAAGAGCATACAAGCTTTTTAAATTAGTAAACAAAGAAAAGATTTATAACACTGTTTATTTGAATTCCAATTTAATTGGAGAATTGCCTGCAACTGATTATAAAAAGTTATATGACATGATAGAAAGTTGTATAATTTACAATTACTTCCATATGAACTTGCAAGACACACAATTTTTTTCTTAATTACATATTCATTTAATTTAGTGATGTTAGCCGGCTAATAATCTGCATACATGATTTCTAAATTTGGTAATAGATTTCCGTATTACCTTCTGGTTATAGAAATAGAATTACCAATTTAGGTAGTAAACGGCTTAGCCGGCTAAGGATTTTTAAACGGCTAACATCACTAGATTTAAGTATAAGTATATTAATGTGATTTTGAACACAGCCTCGCCCAATGTTGTGACCCTAAACTCTGAGTTGAGGGAAAACCCGAAACCAAAATCTCCCTAAATTAGTTTAGGGAGTTTTTAAAATCCTAAACCTTCCCGAAACCTAAACCCTTACCCGAAACCTAAACTCTTACCAAAACCCATACTGAAACTAATTTTATACCGAAACACAAAAAACTAAACCCTAACCCGAAACCTAAATTCTTACCAAAACCCTTACTAAAACTAATTTTATACCAAATCACAAACTTTATACCAACAAATTATTTTTATTTTCTGAACTATTTTTTATGTCAAAATTATTTTGTTTTTATTGCAAAATATTACCAATTGATTTTATTTCAAGAATTTTTTTAGATGGATTTAAAATTTTAAAAATTTATTCTAATTTAATCTAATTGTTATTATTTTATTTTCAAACACCATCATTAATTTCTTCAGAACTTTGAATTTCATCATTATTATTTACGTTGCAATTTCTGTCTTCATTATCAAACCTAAATTATGTGAATTACAATCCAAATCTTCCTCATCAGTATCACATTCATAATTAATTTTTTTTTTCTTTTTGCAGTATTAATATCATTTTCACATGTCACATCAAAAAAAATTGGAAACCAAATCGTTGGAGTTATATTCATAATTTTCATTATGTTATAAATATTCTCTACACTTATATCAATTTCATTTTTGTTACCACCTTCATAATTAAATAAAGAATTGTTTTAAATCCATGTAGTCTTCTATTAGAAAATCTATATCTCTATTATGGTTATCATAATATTCATAATCGTCAAGATCAATATCTGATTCTGTATCGATGGATTCACCATTACCTCGTTGCCCTGAACACAAATAGAAATATAAATTGAGTTGCATTTCTCAAATTTAAATAAATAATAAGCGGAATTATTGGTTTGAATTTTCGAGGGTAGTTAGGTTTTGGATATGGATTTAAGTTTTGGGTAATTTTTAGGTTTCGGATATGGTTTAGGTTTCGAATGTGGGTTTAGGTTTCGGGTAAGTTTTAGGTTTGTAACCAGAAACCCAAACTAGACAGTTTTAGCTTACCGAAACTGTTTCGGGAAGCCAAAAGGATTTAGGATCACAACATTGATTGATGATTATCTACGAATTCCTTATGAACGATTAAAAGATAGGCGAAGGGAGTTTCCAAAGTTATCAATAAATCCTTCATTATCAAATTTAAAACTTGATACTGTAATCAAAATATTCGAATTTTAAATTCATTTCGAAATTATTTTGGACACTCGTAATCATTATTATTTTGGAATGGATATTATAGTATTGTGAGGTGAGAAAGTGTCCGGATCCCTTTCTATTAATATTAATATTTATAATAAAATTGTTATTGGATAAGAAATTTGTCGATTGTAAACAAATTAAAAATTTTATAAATTTAACATGAAACAAATAATAATATTTATAATCTTGATTTAGCAATTCACTCACGTATTTCACGTATCTAATGCATTTATGAGAATCTATAAACATATAATGTTAAAATTCGAATATTCATAATAAATAAATTGTTATTTAAATATTCGTAAAATAGAATGATATTAGGAATACTGCTTCTGACTTATTTAATTAAGTACGATGGGCCAGAAAAATAAAAAAAATTTATACTATCATGAACAAACAGTGAATGCAAAGAAAAAAGGCGGTCCAATTATCGACATCATTGTTTTTAAATATTGAGGCATTGATGTTCTTTTTCTAAAGATAATTCAAGCTTTGTGGGATAGATATGCTAAAAAATAAAAGTCTTTTGAGCTCTAAGGCTTTGATAACTTTGTCAAAAGGTGAAAACGTGGTGTAAATATGTATGTTTGTATTTAGTAATTCCAATTCATCAAACCAACCTTTATAAATTTTTTTAATGGCAAAGAAATTAAAACTTGCATATATATTCACACAAACTTAAGCTAAAAATTAGCGATATGAGCTGGCTTGAATGGCTTAGCCGGCTAAGAACTTGGATCAAATTTACTGTTGCTATTATTGTATTAATAATATATTCTAATTCGCCGTCGTTATTACTTTTGCTTTCCTTATTATATCTTTTATCCTATTACGAGTATTGTATTTTGGGGAGCAAATGTATGTTTTTTTCTTTTGACATCCCAAGTAATGCGGATGGACCCATCTCAACTAAGTGTCTATGGCACTAAATTCTGCATCAAATTCCAGACGTAAGTTGAATGTTTTTTTTTATCTACGTATATAATTAATTTGACCTAAGGTTTTTTTATCAGCTGGCATTACTACTAAAAATGGTATTTTTATTATTTAGCAGAATTTTCAAAAAATTGCATCCAGATAGTTATAGTAATAGGAAGTATATAATATATATATATATATAACAGATAAACCTGCAATTTATATACATTTACATATATCAGCCCACAACTTAAATATATAATTGCATGTACAAGTTTACAGAATACATTTATTTATATTGATATATTGTATTGCTAATTTACTTGTTGCAAAATTATTTCAAAAAAAAAGTTAATTAGAACTAGAAAGAATTTCTGCCTTCAAATAGTATTATAAACCTTATTATTAATTAATAAGAAGGTATATATAAACTCAAAAGTGAGATTGCGTAAAGAACAATTTTCTTTGTTTGCTTACCTTATTGAAGCTATAAAAGAATTAAATTAAATTAGTGACATAACGGCTACTTATTAATCTAATTTTATGTTCATTATAACGATTAAACACGACACGACAAACTTAATGTTAACTTATTATCATCCCACTCGCCTTTAAATTTTCACCATCATCCTCACTTTCTTATCCACTATCCTCACCTTTAAACTTTTCACTCACACCTCCTGTTTCTTCATCATTTTGGTTTTTTGTTTCTTCGTTCGTTTGCCTTCAATTAGTTCATACATACCACTTAATTTTCAAAACATTCTTCTTATCACATTTATCACATAGTGACAAAAATTGAAGGACATTAATATTAAAAAGTAAAATTTTCCTAAAAATCACGTGAAAAGTCTGGGGCACGGAGTTTTATAGAAATAATATTCAATGAATATGAACAAAACGGTCAATTGTTAATGGGATTTTCGATACACATGCATATTTAATTAAATACAAAAATATGGAGTTTAAACTGTTTTTTTTTTTTATTGGTAATATTTGCATTATTTACAATAGAGTGAAAAAACACCTTTTGTCTTTGCACTCAAATATATACGTGCAACGTAGATCTTACTACTTCATTGAAAATCATTTCCATACCTAAGGTTTTTCCACGGCTATTTTTTATTTGACCTGTTAATTTTTATATTAATATTGCATCCATAAATCTCCAAGGACTGCAAGCATTGCATTTGTATGAACAATCTAATAACACTATATAAAACCATACATGTGAAAAAAAATTCAAAAAGTTTGCATTAAATGATAAGGGCGGAATACGAAAAGTTCTCAAGCTGAAATTTTTTGCCAATTAGATAAAATCGAGTGTCCATTACCATCTGGCGCGTGCGTAAGAAGGAAATTAAACCATTCTAAATAAATATTTTTTTATTGTATAGTTAGTATTATGGTAGGGTGCACAGAATATACATTTGCTTTTAAGGGAAATTCACGTGTAAAAAGCGGAAAGAACGAAGGAAGATCTTACTGGGAAAAGCAGCTAATTCACTTGCATTATTTGCATTTTGCATTGTATTTATCTGGGCATTCCAGTATTGGGTTGACAATTTAAATACCAAAACTGGTTTAAATCCAGTCGTAATCATTTCAACTTCGTTCTTCAAAAAAAAAACGAAATGTTCTTTAACATTCATTCACACAAATATTTATATAATGTCTGCCTTTGTGAGAAATCCTATTTTACAAAATTAACGAAAATATGGGTATATTTAAATCTAAATCACCTGATCTAAAGATTCCACATCTTGATATTTATCATCATGTAACCAGTAATCCTAATTCTATTCCTGATACTAAACCAATTTATATTGATGGATCAACTCGTAAAGAAGTTACTTTTGGTGAACTTAAAAGTTCTACTCGAAAGTTTGCCAGTGGATTAAAATCAATTGGATTTAAACCTGGAGAAGTTTTGGCGATTGTTTCTCCAAATCACATCCATTTTCCTATTGCATTATTAGGAACCATTGCATTTGGTAATTATTTAATTAATCATTAACTTGCATTTTTTAGCAATAAATTCATCCTTTGCACTTTTTTTTCAGGTGGAACTGTTACAACACCTAATCCTAATTATAAAGTTGAGGAATTAAGATATCAATTATCTGATTCCAAAGCATCAATCATTGTTGCACATTCGTCAACCTTACCCACTGTTTTAAAAGCTGCAAACAACGTAGATATACCAACTTCCAAAATCTTTGTATTAGATAAAGAGGAAGTCTCTGAAGATGGCATTAGGACATTCACCAGCCTATACAAGGATGATGATGACTCAGCAATTATTCATTATACAACTGAAGAGAAAGTCAAATCAACAGTTGCTTATTTGTGTTATAGTTCTGGTACAACTGGCAAACGAAAAGGCGTTGAGACCACACATTATAATATGGTTGCTAATCTTGAACAAATTCATCATTTCGAGGAATTCAATTCTGATCTTGTATTCTTGGGAGCATTGGTAAGATTAAATTAGGTTACGATCATGATTACAATTATGATTACAATAATGATTTTTTGTTTTCACAGCCATTCTATCATATTTTTGCATTAAACATGATGATACATCAAGTACTTTATTGCGTAAGTCTTTACTATTTGTTATTTTTTTTTTTTTTTAAAAATAAAATTTCTCAAATTTTTTACATTTAATAGGGAGCAACAGCAATAGTCTTATCAGTTCCTGATTATGATATAGATTTAATTTGTCAAGCAATACAAGATCATAAGATAAATCTTGGATATATAGTTCCATCAATTGTGCTTCAACTGGTTAATAACCCAGTTGTTGACAAATATGATTTATCAAGTTTAAATTTTTTTTTAAGTGGTGCTGCTCCATTGTGCAAAAAGTTGAGCAAGAAGTTCAACGACAAATTCGAGAAAATACCTCTTAAGCAAGGTTATGGACTTACTGAAGCTACACCAATAATTACATTGGCTAGAACTGATGATGTTGTAATTGGTAATATAAAAATTATGTTTTGAATGATTTCATCAAAAAAAAAGAAATAAATAATAATATTTTCTTTTTTAGGATCATCTGGGCTTATTGTGGCAAATGTTGAAATAAAATTTATTGGTGAAAGCGAAATAGGTAATAAGAAGCAATAACAATAATTTAATTTAATTCTTCAAAACTAAATAATCAATTTTTCTGATAGAACTTGGAATTAATGAAGAAGGTGAAATATGTGCTCGTGGTCCAAACATCATGAAGGTACTTTTCATATATATAAATGAATATTGTTATTAATTATTTTGATTAAGTCTACAAAAAATAGGGCTATCTTAATAATGAAAAAGCCACTAAAGAATGTATGGATAAAGATGGATTTCTTCATACTGGAGATCTTGGTTATATTGATGAAAATGGTAAATTGTTATTTATCATATAATGTTATGTAAAATATTTTCTTTTGTTTTTAAATTGACATGTTTATTATTATTATTGTAAAAAGGGAATGTTTTTTTGGTTGATCGTGTAAAAGAACTTATCAAGTTTAAGGTCTGCAATCTTTCTTTTTTCTTTCTTTTGCTTTTTATTTTTTCAATAGTTGATTTAAAAAAAATTTCAGGGCTCACAAGTTGCACCTGCGGAACTTGAATCAATTCTACTTGAAAATCCTATAATTTCCGAAGCAGCTGTAGTTGGCGTATATTCAGAACAAGATGCA